GAAAAGTAAGAAGCTCGGGGAGGCCTCTACAGCTCATCACACATGGAATCCTCAACTCTAGATAGGACCATATCAATCCTTTATGTGTCCCTTTTATTTGCTGATTGTCAATGGTTATTTAATAGTGAATAACTTACTTAATTTACTTAATTTACTTCTTTTTTTTTTAACCTACTTTACATTAGAAAACGTACATGATCTCTCTGCTGCTGTGCTGCTTCAATCTCCTCTCATAGCCACTAGTTGAAAATGGAACCAGCTGTCAGTCGGCTGGAAGCTCCTGTTATGGCCCTTTCGAACCCGGAAACCTGATTGGTATTTTGAAAAGAGGAAGTCAGAAGTGCCACTTCTTTTCTATTTAAAATTACTAACATTTGAAATGAGGATCAATGGTGTAGCTATACATAGATAAAGGATAATATATCTTCTTTAACAACTAAACAAACAAATATAAATCTGAGTCGCACCTTCTCTCTTTATGTATATTAAGCAGTCTGATATTTTACAAGAAAAGCAAGACTGATGAGATGAAATTAACTAGAGGAGTATTCAAAATAACAGGATTGGAAGGCAGACCTGCTAAAATCCCCTTCCTCAGCTGCTCTGTTGATTGCGCGATAGCCTGCCGTTGTGTGTGATGTGAATAGTGAGTGAGGATGAGAGTGTCTGAGACATAACATGACTGATGCAGCCGCAGCACCACGAGAGGCAGCCATACACCCTGACTTTGAAGGGTCAGACATGAGGAACCTCTATGCTCCTCAAGTACAAACAAGGTGTTTTATATTGATTGCGTCCTGCACAAGCTCAAGTAAATGTGCATTTTCCCAGTGAAAATGTGTCGTCTGTGATTGGTAATACTGTGTTATTGAATTTCTTGTGAATGCACCCATTTTAATCGATAGTGAGGCTAATGTAATGTTTGAGATGTAATGGTAGAGGGAGAATCCTCTGAGACTCAGGTACAGGTAAAAGTCCTTTCATTAGGCATCCACTTCCACGCCTGTCAGTGCCTTTATGAATAAATCCACTCAGGTTCAACCACAACGAAGATGAGTGTAGCTTGTATCATTGTCTGCCTCGACAAAATGAAGAGAAATCCATCATGGCTAGGGATAAGATGAATGCTTCTATAATAAATCAAAAAATGCCATTTATTTGAATTACCTGACTACCGTTCAAACTGAATGTCCTTTTCTTATAACAACATTTAGTTTGTGATTTGTAATTTTCTTTGTGACTCATCGTTTTGGCCTCTGAACGATTTATTCTGATTTTAGTAATTGGTTTCATCTCTATACAGAGAAACGCATATTTATACTCCTGCCTAGAATTTCTTGTGTGCATGTGTGTGTGTGTGTGTGTGTGTGTGTGTGTGTTTTTGTGTGCCTCAAATGCCCAGGAGCTTTAAATAGTATCTCAGTTGGTTGACAAAAACATTGGATGGGATGTCCTAAGGTTAGTTGAACCAGCTCATTACCCATGCAACCTTACAACCTCACAAACCTGACTCATTTTTGTCCTGAGGAGGGTCTGCCAGTACCATGGAAGTATTGCAACAACAATATTATTATTTGTATTATTTTTAGTATTATTTATAATGCACAACATGTGTGTCTATGGCTCACATATCTCGCTCGCTGTTTGTCAGACCGACCCTAACTTTTTAATTAGTTTTGGTCGCATTGCACAATCCTTTATCCTTTATTTTTCATACATTTTCAAAACTAGAATTTATCAAGTCTTATAATAATCTTAGGATTTCTGGTTTTAACTTCTATTTCGAGGACAGTATGGGATCTGAGAATGTAATTAAATAAGCTTAAAGAATCAAGTAATGATAATAACAAGTATCAAGCTGTTAGCATGTCTATGATTTTATATCCAGTAAGCCTGTATAAATCAATCAATCAATCAATCAATCCTTTATTATCTTACACAGATGGAGAAATTCAGTATAAAAAATTAAGAAATAAGAAATTCAGAGAAAACGTATATTATATGCAATCCTTGAGTTGTTTCTCGTCTGGTATAGAAGGAACAATTAACTCGATCTACGTATAAGACACAACGACCCTTACATTATGTGTCATCACTAAGAAAACACAGTGGCCTTCACTGTCTTAATGAGCACTCTCTGTTTATATGACCTGTAGTTTAACAAATACTGAATTTTGAAGACAGAATGTTATGCAAAATGTTTGATTGCACTACTAATTATTAAACTTAGCACTCTTATTAAGCTTGCACCAAAGCCAGTAAGTTCATTTGTAGAGAGACAAACCAGCAACAGCACAAGAAGCACCTCTCACAATAACCATCGCTGAACCACTTTTGGTTCAGCTTTTTCCATTGGCTTTTTCCATTAAGTACGCCAAAAGACTGGAACTCACCGTCCACTGATCTAAAAGGTCGATCAGAGTTCAGGCTGTTGCGAGGCCAATGAATACATGCATGTGAAAACAAGAAAAGCAGTCGTAGAGCACAGACTTCCATAGTTCCATTCATTTATTTCAAGTATCCTGCGTCCAGAGGGTTATTCAGATCACTCCCAAAGTTGAATCAGTTGTTCACTGGGCCGCCGTGCATCTTTCCTAAATGTCGTCCAAATCCTCCCTTTTTTGAGTTATGTTTCTAACAGCCCAACTAACGACAAACAGAAAAACGCAGTTGATCACTTTACCTCTAGGACAGAGGTAACTAAATGGCCACTTTATTTATCCCTGTATGAAACTTTGTCCTCTGCATTTGACCCATCCTGTTGCCACTAGGGGGCCCGTCAGGAGCTCAGCTTAGTCAGGACTACCGGAGCTGGAGGATTTACCTAGCATGTTTTAGTGGTGGAGGAAACCGCAGGTATGAGGAGAACAGGGCGACAGTAGCTCAGTTGGTAGAGCATTGGTTTTTGAAGCCTGAAGGTTGTCAGTTCGAGCCCCCCAAAAGACCTTTTCCATCGACCCCCACCCTCCGTGATGGACTCCCCCATCACCTCTGTGGAGTCCTTCCGTTTCCTGGGCACCACCATCACCCAGGACCTCAAGTGGGAGCCGACCATCAGCTCCCTCATCAAGAAGGCCCAGCAGAGGATGTACTTCCTGCGGCAGCTCAGGAAAGCCAAGCTGCCTGCACAGATGTTGGTGCAGTTCTACACGGCCATCATCGAGTCCATCCTCACCTCCTCCGTCACCGTGTGGTTCGCTGGAGCCACAGTCAGGGACAAGCAGAGACTACAGCGCATGGTGAGCTCTGCAGAGGAAGTGATCGGCCGCAGCCTTCCATCGCTGCAGGACCTATACGTCGCCCGAGCTCGAGGCCGGGCTGGTCGTATCACAGCCGACCCCTCTCACCCTGCACATGGACTATTCCAACCACTCCCCTCAGGCAGGAGGCTGCGGTCCATCAGGACTAGAACCTCCCGCCACAAGAACAGTTTCTTCCCCTCTGCTGTTGGACTCTTGAACACTTCTTAACCTGTCCCCCCGCCCTTTATAAAGTCACTTTACTGCCCATCATACGTCACTTTACTTCACTGTACTGCTGTCACCTTACATTGTGTGCACCATGTGCACTTGTATATTGTAAATAGTAACTGTAACTCTATTTTAAATTTAAATTTATTCTTTAGAAGTGTTTTTTATTCTTATTTTTATTATCTCTTTTTGACTGTTGCACTGAGCCAAAGCAATTTCTAAGTCTGTGACCTCCTGTTACTTACGTTGGCAATAAAAATGATTCTGATTCTGATTCTGACTCCCACTGATGTCTGCTGTCGCTGTGTCCTTGGGCAAGACACTTAACCTCTGGGAAATCCAGGTGCCTCAGTGGGGCGGCTGCAGCTGTAAAGTGCCCCACTGCTGTTGTGTCCTAAGGCAAGATACTTCACCCACATTACCTAGAATGAGTCTGGTGTGTGTGTGGATAGTTGGTGGTGGTTGGAAGGGCCGATGACACATACTGGTTGCCTCGCTTCTGTCAGTGTGCCCCAGGGCAGATGTGGCTACAGTAGTAGTTTATCACCACCGTGTATGAAGTGAATTATGTCTTTGAGTGTCCAAAAATGCGCTATATAAAACCGATACATCATTATTATTATTATTATTATTATACAAACTCCACTCAAAAAGCCCTGTTCCGACTGGGATTTGAACGTTCTTGCTGATAAGCGAGAGTGCTGTCCACTCAGCCACCATAACTAGAGGGTGTAAAACCACGCACCACACACTTTATACACTTTTCTAACCGCCGGAACTCACGACTGCTGAAGTGCTGCTGGGGCTGTCAAAAGCCGTGCATACACTGTAAAATACAGCTGCAGAGGACAAGGCGCTGAGGGCAGGAGCAGGACTGAGGGCAACGGGAAGACAGCGGTAGTTGTCTGAACTAATCACTGCGGTGCACACAAGCCACAGAAGTTTTTAACCGACTTCAAATAAGGTATCTGTCATGTTATACTAGCAGTTATTTGATGTCGGAGTATACAAGCGGCAAAAGAATCCACAAAACGGCGAGACTGCAAAACGTGAATCGCGTTATAGTGAGGGACCACTGTACTGCATTTGTTTATGGTTTGAAAGTTAGATACCCAGCTTTAACCTTGCCATCGTATGAAAGGATAGAAGCTCAGTAGTAAAGCTACTATTTGCCGTGTGAGGGGGACGTTAATGACAGTATTGGAGTAATTACAGGGTTGGATTGTTTTCTTCACCTGGCACAGCCTTTTGTCTCGTATCGTATTTTGTTCATGGATGTACATTTAACAAAGACAGGGCTATTCTTACATGGCTTACACCTTCACTCAAGCCGCATCGATTGGTCTTGAGGTTTAAACTTGATAGGTTCTGCTCTTTGTGTTCCAATGTGGACTCGGTTTTAAGTGCAGCGGAAGAGTGTCTGCCTCAGCCGTTTGTACATGTGAGGGTGGCTTTTATCGCAGCGCCGGCACCTAGCTCCCTGCTGCCAGTGAAACCACGGCCCGGTGAGAGAAGTTAATTTGGAGGACGATGGCCACTTCAATTCACAGACCTCCACTGACCTCCTTCCCCTCAGGCGTTCTTATGCCTCAGCTCACCATTCAGACCCCCAACAGCAGCCACCTACCTCATCGCCAGTCCAGGGCACTTTTCTTTCTTCTAGCAAACGCACACACGCACAAGCTTGTCAATTCACTTTCACTGTTTGACTCTGTTCTGTGTTTTTATGTGTACTCTGTAGTGGACACAACTTAAGAATATGAGAGAAAGCGTCATGTATAATGTAAAATAAAGAAAAGCATTGCATCTTTATCCGAATAAGGGCTGCTCTACCCCAGTGTGACAGAGAGCTCTTGCACAGGTATTTCAATGTAGTTCTACTGCAAATGGCAAATAAACTTGGTCTGAATCTACTGTATATCAATATAAATGATGATGAGGAGGAATTTTTCTAAACAAGGCTGTAATTATCAATCATTTTGATAATCAGTTGTTTGGACCTGAAAGGTTATGGAATATGCATTTTTTTCAACATTTGATAAAGACGAAGTTCTTCATCAAATGTTGGAGCCCCTGGAGAACAGAGAGGACTTGTTACTCATTTGGTTGTTTGATTAAAAAAACTTTATGAACACATTTTCTTTTCATTCTGCAGTCATTATTGAATTATCTTGAGTGTCAGCTCTAAAGCCTGGTTCACACGGCAGGATATTTAGGCCGATTTAGACCCGATTTAGACCCGATTTACCCCTTACGACAATCTTAAGAAACGCTCCGATTTCCGTAACAAAATCTTACAGATTATCCTGCCGTGTGTGGTGTGTTAAGACTGCACTCGTCGCTCGGAAGGACATCGGGACTGCTCCCGATCTCAAATCGGGGATATCCAACATGTTGGATTGTTTTGGCCCGATTTCTCTTCGTGTGTGGTGTCCCCCGAGGACAGACGTGCGCGTTGCCATGACTGCGGCGTGTAGCCAATCAGAAGACGAGACGAGGCGGTGAGGAAACGCCTCCATATCACGATGTAGCAAGTATAGTCCATGCTCGTGTTGTCTACACTTCTTTGACCATCGCCTTTTCTTTTGATTACGTCTTTTCTCCGATAAAAACAAACTATCGCCAATGCATCCTCTTCGTCCGCCATGTGTGTTTACTCTGAAGTCACGCTTGATCTCGCGAGACCTGAGATTTCCGTCTGATCTGTGAATACTCGGGGGGGGGAATCGGTTCGTGTGTGGTTTGCGTGATTTTTCACACACTGTACGACCAAAGTGGTTAGACCCGTGATTTTTTATCTCCCTGTGTGGGGTCTCACACAGAGAAAAATCGGCCGACAATTTTAAAATCGTCTTGTGTGAACCAGGCTTAAGCCTATGCCGGGTGTGAAAGACTGATTCATCGATTGGTTGACAACTATTTCAACGACCGAGAAGTAGTGGCAAATCAATAAACTTGATACCTTTTGTCAAAGCAGTACAGACAATCCTATATACTGTACGTTACAAACCTGTAAAGTAATCCATACAGGCTTTCCCACAAAAAAAGATCCCTCACAATATTGGTGGGGGATGGTGGCATGTTCTTTTTACAGCGTGCTTCTAACGCGCTTCGTGTAAACCTCAGTGTGTGTATCGCAGTGATTAGTTCAGAAGACTACCAGGGTCTTTCCGTGGCCCTCGGTCCTGCTCCTGCCCCTCGGTGCAAGTGTCCACTGCACATGTACTGTATTATTGTAAGTGTATGCACGGCTTTTGACAGCCGCAGCAGCACTCAGACCAAACAGGTCAAAGATATCTTTGCGATCGCACTTCAGCAGTTGTGAGTTCAGTTGGTTAGAAAAGTGTATGAAGTGTGTGAGGAAAGGTTTTACTGCCCTTAAATGTATAAAGTAGCTGCTACTTTGCAGATTGTGCTTATCGTAGGTACTTTTTTGAATATGACCCCACGATAAACAAGGAACCAGTATGATTTACTCACTTTCAATATTATTTCAAATACGTTTTTATGCATCATTTATTTTCACAATTTGTTGCAAACTAAGTTCACTTTTTTCTTTTAAACAGGACAAAATGTGCACAAGTTCAAATTGTATTATCTAGTAGTCATTGTATTGTGCAAATATATTCAATCTTTAATACATTCAGGTAACAACAACACACTACAGAACAAAACCCTGCTTCACAGCTAACGACAACTATCAGCACCACGTGTTAGCGCTCTCAATAATGTACCATTTGATTGTCTTTTTCAAAATCTTTGACACTGGTGCACACTATTAATGCACGCCGGGCTATCAACCTCTCATTTACCGAAGTTGACTCATCTTTCTTAAAGCTTTTCTGAAGTCACGCTCTGCATGTTCAATAAGTGTGTTGAAGAGGGTCGATGGCAGAGAAACAGAATAATGTGTTCAAATTGGACATGACTCACCGGGTATTTCATCAGTGCGAGCTCATAAACCTTGTTGAATATGTTTTCCAATGGCTCTCCCTGTGTGTTTGCCAAAAAGATCAAATTAACTAAGCGTATACATTAGGTAAGGCAAGTTTATATGTATAACGCAAATCATACACAAGGGAACTCAAAGTGCTGAAGAGACCACATTAGAAACAATCACACAATAATCATAAAAAATCTCAGTACATTAAAAAGAGTATAGATAAAACCCCTCAGTTGTATGCACAGCTAAACAGAACTGTTTTTTATCCTAGATTTGAACGTTGTCAGAGAAGAAGCCTGTCTCACATTTTCAGGAAGACCGAACTCCGGGCACCAGCAGGAGGCCAGTCCCTGTGCTCCTCAGAGTCTGAGTTGATTCATATGGCACTAACATGTCACTTATGTTCTCTGGCGCAAGACAGACTTGTACACAAGCAGAGCTGATTTAAAGTCTCTGAGCAACAGGAAGCCAGTGCAGAGATTGATTATTATCATGCTTAAAGTCATTATTATTTTATCTGCAGGGTGGAAGAGAGCTTCAAGACACTTTTTTGGTCAATCTTTGGGCTCTCTGAAGTCATCTCCGTGGTCCTCAAGTACGACCATAAGTTCATCGAGAACATCGGCTACGTGTTGTATGGCGTCTACAACGTTACGATGGTGGTGGTTCTTCTCAACATGCTTATAGCCATGATCAACAGCTCCTACCAAGAGATAGAGGTACACACCACTCATACCTTTTTCATTGCGTATCCTGTATCAATTATTAATAAGGATAGCTTCAGAGAAAAATCACACATAATACATATACAAGCTGCTGCTGCTGCTTTTTATAGGAGGACGCTGATGTGGAGTGGAAGTTTGCCCGAGCTAAACTGTGGCTGTCATATTTTGATGAGGGGCGAACGCTTCCCGCTCCGTTCAATTTGGTTCCGAGTCCAAAGTCCTTCTACTACCTGGTTCTTCGCATCAAGACGTGCCTCGTCAATATGTGCAGACCCAGCAGACGCCGCCGCAATGAGCTGGAGATGGGGATGCTCGACTCTCAAAAGAAGGTCAGTGTCTGCTGTGTTTCAGGCAACAGAAATACTATGCATATAACACTGTGTCCAGTTTATTTATTTATTTTTATTTTTTTATTCTTAGTAGAAATTCAGAATGCAAAAACAAGAAAAGGAAATGAGAGGATGTAAAGGATTTATCAATTAAAATAACATTGTAGACCAAAATTGAAGACCTAGGCATGTCCAAAGTCCTGTCTGCAGGACAATAGGCTTCTTATCCTTGTATATAGCCCTCTGCTTTGTTAACTCAAAGTAGAAATTCCCAGTATCATCCAGCCTACTTCAACTCTGCTAATATAGGCATGCTATAAATACAACAGAATTATCCTTGCATGAGAAGGGGGTAAAAAGGCAATGGGCTAAATACACGGGGAGGCGTGACATGATTTCCTGTAAACAAAGAACGGCTTGTTTACTTCCTGTCTATGCTATCGCTCTGGCATTGTGGTGAGTTGTAGTGACATTTTTTAGTAATTAGATTGATACATTCAGCTGAGACTGACCCAAAAGTGTCACGTGCTTTCTCTGTGGCCACTCAGAGAGATTAATTAACTTTATAAAAGCACAATGACAGCACAATTGACGAGCACTGCTGTGTCCCAAAAATGCACAGTATCCTCACAGTTTAACCCTTTAAGCGCCAGAGGTTTTTTTCCAAAACGCTCAATTTTGACATCTTAATTTCAAAAGGCTATAACTTAAAAGTGATAAGAGATAAAGGCTTTCTGTAAATTAGAAAAATATAAAGGATGGTCCAAAGTTTATGTAGAGAATAAATCCCCCCATCTAATTTGCATATTATGACGTCATTTGGCGTTAGAAATAGTGGATTTTAGATTTTTCATACAATATTTGTATTTTTCTAACTGACAGACATATATTTATCACTAGAACATGAACACACACAGAGCACACACTGTAACATTGTAAATGTTCATGAAAATAGTAAAGAAAATATAAATCATGGTGCTGCTGTGAGCAGTCTGCCCAGACGCGCGCCTCCACGTGATGCGCGTCACCGCGACCCTCCTGCTGCAGATGTCTCCCCCACTCTCTCTCTCATCTTCCCTGCTCTCTCTCGTCTGACACACACAAGACAAAGCTTCTACAACACATTACTGTCCCGGTGATTACGTGAGGCTTGAAAATAAATATGTGGGAAGCACTTTTAGCGGAGACTTTGGCGGAAACTTCAGCGGAGGCTGGAGGTCGCGGCGCGGCGCCCCGACCCGAGTTCCTGGCTTTTTTTTTTCGCAAATCTAACCTGTCTCCGAACCTCCCAATGACTGGCCTTACTCTAAGAAACACTGTTCCCACTGCAGACCCTGTGCAAAGTGTCTAAAGTTAATGTTTGGTGCGGTACAACACTTGCAGGCTGCCCTCGCAGCTGCATTCGCTTCGCTATGATTTCCGCACTGGTTCAACGCGGTCCTGCTCGAATATTTTGTATGAGAGCATGACGTTTTTTGGGGCCAGGGAGGTAGTCTGACATGTCTGCCAACTAGTGGCAGGGAGTATGAATGAATTTTGACACTCAGTTGGTCACACTCGGCCGTTTTTAACAGTACCGCAGCTTGTCGACTTAAGTCGACCGTGGCGCCTAGAGGGTTAATTCCTGTTTGAGCCTTATTTGGGAAACTCCTGTAAAAATCTGCTGAACTCCAGTGAAACTCAAGCTGATCCCTGTGCACCGGAAGTCAAGTGTCGTTTTAACTAAAACGCGGAAGTGGTGCGTGCATAGAGTCTATAACTGAGGCGCACTGGTAAATGTTATCTACTTATTATCCTACCAGATATATAAATTACACCTACATTAAATTGATGCATTAATGAAGCATTTATAGATAGTTAAGAAGCATTGCAGCTACTTATTTTGTGTATGTTGTGTGCTCCTTGTGTGTGCTTACTACTGTCCTGCGTTGCAACATTGACATTTCCCCACTGTGGGACGAATAAAGGTTCTGTTATCTTCTTATATCTTATTTATCTTCGGCCAAACACAACAATGCTATGTTGTGTTATAGTGCAATTTCTCTTGGAAAAGTCTGATTAATTAAACAAGTTTGGACACATCTGCTTTAGCCCAAAATATCTTGAAAACCTAAACCTAAAAACAACATATATGTATATGTGCTGTAAATATTAACAAATAAGTAGACTTCCATACCCTGATGGAGACTTCCATTGAAACATGTTTGCAGGAGGGTCTCTCAGAGGGTCTAACTAAAAGGACAGTTGTGATGATCCAGGACACTCAACTCAACATTCAAAAACATTTACCCACATTTTGGTTGTTTGCCTCTTATGAACCGATGGCTATATGTGTTTTTATTATTGCATTTCTTGTGTTGAGCTGTTTCACTAACTGATCTGTGTTGGCGAATTCAACGGTCTTGTTGGTCTACTGCTGTGATTTAGGGCTATTAAAGAATAAAATAAATTGAATTGAATGTTGGCGTTGATCTCACAAACCAGTTTCCTGCCATCACTGCTACTTGCCAATAAATACCACGTCTTTTTTATTCTGTTCCCATACATTAAGGATCTTTGAAATTCACCAGATATTTTCACTCTTTGACTGTGACTGAGCACTCCACAAACCTTTTTTTCTGCAGCAAGTCAAATCTTTATTCTTCAAAATCGTTCCTGAAGTGTAAAACTTTAAACCCATAATTGCACTAAAACCAAAACTCTGATCCTCTGGAAAACACTTGACATTTTTTCCATCACCCTCAGGATCTTAAAATAAAAGTCAAAAGGATTAATAACCTCCAATCAGAGCTAGGATGGCGCTTTGCAAAAGATAAATGTTAAAATACATTTTACAAATTCCCGCTGGATAACAGGACATTTCTGCTTTCATCCTACAGGCTCTGACTATGCTAAACAACATGAACTAAACTTTATGGCACTGACTGAAATTAATGTTCTGTACTTTATATCCTTCGGAAATGCACACTAATCCCACCGGAGCACGCGGATTCGCTTAGTTAATTCTGCCACGTTTATCTTCTTCAAAACTGCAAAACTGAGAAGAAAGAATCAAATCGCAAAGGCCATTTACCAGCGAATCAATCTGTGTGCCGGGGCCTGTCTATGAGCGTTTCCTCTCGGTTCAAATGGCTCGCCCCAGCAACGTGGGTTAAGCTATTAGTCAGGACATTCAAGCTTCCTGCATCTCTTCAATCCCCCCCCTCGCCATCATTCTGGACTGGGACAAAGGCGGCTACACCCAGCTGCCTCTGTGAGCTCTTAAAGTTCTCTGCTTAGATCAGACAGGCTAAACGCAGCTGGAAAAAATACTCAACAATCAATAACAAAGCCCGGCTCTCCACTATGGTGCAGCTTCGGGAATGTCAAGTGGGATAGCTTGGCTGGTTGCTTGATTTTCCCTGCTTTAAGTCCTTATTGCATTTTATGACAAAATGAAATTAGTTCTTTTTAACATTTTCGATCATGAATGAGATGAATAAAAGCATAGAGGTCATAACAGGCGGCATATTAAGCGAGGTACAGCGGTTCTATATATAACTCAAGCTGTTGAGGGAGTCTAAAGATTAAAAAAGTCTTTTCAGTCTGCACCTAATGAGTTCATGGAAAAATGCTTTACAGGTTTATTAAGAAAACTTATAATGTATTTGATTAAATCCTTTTCTCCTGCTTTATGTATTGCAAATTCTCCTCCCCTAATAACACATGTATGCTCTGTTTGTCGAGAAGAAATAAAGAATTGACTTTGTGAAGCAGATTCTGAGTGGGAAAGATATATGTGTACGTAAGACTAAGACTAATGCATTATTTGAACAAGAGGTCATCGGCAAAGACACAGAGATTGTCACTGACACAAGTTAATGGCGATCCTTATCCCATGACCTTTTCCTCTGATTAACTTAGACCTTAAAATTGAACTTTAAATTGAACTTTTTTTTAAAACTAAAAGGTTTTTCCCTCGTAAAGATTAAAGCATTATGAACAAATCAGACCAGACACAGGAGTCAGTATTTGATGCTTTGAGCTGAGAGAAGATTATCTGAACGAGAACCTTTTTCACTTTTCTCTCTGTAAAAAGATGCCAAAAATGCATTTACGCGCACTAATAATAGAAACTACCTGTTTTGAGAGATAGGAACTAGTTTGATGAAATTTCAGAATGTTATTACATGGAGTTCAGTTTTTATTGGGTTTAAAGTTAAGTGCCCGAGCTTTAATTTGTTTTATTGCCTTTTATTAAACTACTTAAAGTGGTGGGGAATCACTGGAGCTTGAAATGCGATGTTAACTTGTGTCTGGCTTGTTCAGCAGGACGAGCCGTTCAGGACTTACCCTCGGCCCGGAGAGGAGTTTATGCCCCGGAAAACTCTAAAACATCCCACCAGATACCAGGTAAGCCACGCGATAAGTGCCGAGGACAAAGGAAATGAAAGACAGGGTAGAATATTCACAGTGATATCCAGAGAACAAACCAACACATGCACTAATAGAAGCTGAGAGTTGGGGTGGTTTAAGGCTGATGGAGGCTGACAGGGGGAGAGAGAATGGGGGTGAAGAGGCCTGGATGGATCTAGATACAATATGAAACTTTTATAACAGAGAAATAACCAAATGATGGACGAGGATATTACACCTCTTGTTTTGGCTAGTTTTACTGTGTGGGGTATCTCTATTCTGCAGTATTAACAGTAGCATAGTAAAAATGATAGAAGGATGAGAGATAGTGATAGAAACACTTAAAGGGACCACATGTGGTATTTACGTGCATAATTAAATCTAAATATTGTACATACAGTATGTTCCCCAGATAACAAATCAACATGTACACATTACGGTAATGTTTCCCTTTTGTGAAGATAAGTGAGTAATCCAACCCCACCCATGCACTCTCTCTTTACATTCATACCTATTGTACATGTTTTTAGTGGTAGGTATCACCTAGACAGACACAGGGAGAACATGCAAACTCTACACAGAAAAGCCCTGTTCCGAGGTCAGGGCTTTTTGCATCAGTACTTTTACTCACCTGCGTCACTTTGTACGCTCCTCTTATCAAAAATAGAAAATTAATATCTAAGAACTAGCAGAATACGGTGTCTGTGTTAGTTGGGATTCTTATTTGTGAATGCGGGCACAAAAACATGTTGTTTGAAGTGTGTGAAAATAATATTGATAATCGGTAGAGCAAAATCCCAAAAAGCTTTGAATATCAGCTTAAAAAAAAGAAAGAAATCAAATTGGTAATGCCCTTCAAATGTTCTTTTGAAGATGTTTTCTCAAATTTGTCACAAAGTAATTTTTAGGAAAACAAATAATAATAACAGAATAATTTCACAAATTTTTATTCTGTTTCTATGTTATCGTTATAGAATTGTTCCTAGCAATTGTAGATGTACCACAACTATCGATTCTGTGTCCTTTCTCTTATTAGTGTTACATGCATTTTATTTGATAGAAACACATCTGCTTCTACACAGTATAAGACCAGAGCGGGTGTCTTCTTCTGCCGATGCCTTTCACTCTTGTCCTGGGGGAAATCTAAGCCCTGTGAGCTCTTTGTACTCCTATGTCCATAAATCCTCCACACACACACACACAGACACACACACACACACACACACACACACAAACACACACACACACACACACACAGCTCTCTCACATTACTCCAGTGTCATTCCGGCGCCTGTTGATTAGGCATTTGTATGTGCGCTGACAACGATCTAACTCGCAGGCAGAGAGAAGCTATGCAAGAATTGACGGGCAGCAGTTGTGAGGACCTCCCTGCTGGCCTCTGATCAATACCGTGCAGAATACATACGACAATGCACACACAGACTCGCCGGAGTGTGTGGGAAAATATCATAAATACATAAGCCTTTTGGACGTGCCGCTTCAGGCCTAATCCTGTCAAATGTGTTTCTTTTCTCTGTGTTTGGCAGAATATTATGAAGAGGTTGATTAAGCGATACGTCCTGAAGGCACAAGTGGACAGAGAGAACGACGAAGTTAATGAAGGTACATGTTTCCTGTTCATAAACTGCAAAAAAAATGATAAAAAATAAGGCAATACTGTCTTGAATCAAGTGGTTTTTACCTTAATTTGAGTTTTAAAACAAGATTTGCCAGGGGGACAAGCCGTTCGGTCTTATTTAAAGTATTATTGCTTTATTTTCTCATTCCAAGAGAGACATTTCTTGTATCTCTTGACAAGATCATTTTGTCCCAATGGCAAATCTTGTTATAAGGCAGTCAAAATGTGCTCAAATTAAGACAAAATGTGCCAAATTTGAGAAATGTTGGACCTATTTCTTGTAGTGTAGTTGCAGTTTTGTTAAGCGGCTTCGGGCTTGAACTGTGAAGTATGTGGGAGTTAAAGCTAAAACAAATGTCTCCTGTGAATATGTTTACAACAGCGACTGACCTGATGATCCGTGCATACCAAAATGCATGTCTTAAACGTGTTCTGGGAGTATGTGTGGCTCTACATCAGAGGAGCGCACAATAATATCCTGAATTATTTAAGCTATAATGACCAGAATGTAAACTACTTTAAGGAAAGTGCACGATTTGCATTGAGTGTGAGTTTTGATTGACGTTCATGCAGCTGTTTGTATTTTCAATGTGGTTTTGTGAACATTTTGAGAAATTGCTTTAATATAAATCGGTATGAGTACATTAGATAGAATATCCCTCTGTGAGATGTGCATTATTAATTACAGATGTTTTAACTGCTCAAAAACCTGATTTCTTTACGGCTCTCCTCTTTGCAGATATGACCTGTTTATTGACAATAATAAGGCTATCATCAGTCTCCGAGAGAAAAAAACAGCCTCCACCTTTTAAATCTGCTCTTGTTACTTATAAACTGATCATGTCATTATTCATTATTTAGGAATGTGTTTAGTTAGGGAAACTCGATCAATAAGGTCTATAGAGGCATGCCATAAATTATATAATAAAACGGTTTTTAATACAAACTTTAACGCTTTCATTCATGGCTAATTGTCTTTTTGAAAAGATGATAGAAAGGTTACAACATTATTTCTTCATCAAAAAGGACCTGTTTTAGTTTCATTCTTCTGGTTCAATTATGTCCACTGCTAAGTAAAGTTTTTCACAAATATGTTTGTGAAATAAATTGGCTTCAAATTATTGCTGGGAATGTCAGCAGGGTGTGGACACAGATGGTAAATGAGTTATTGGAGGCTGAGATCGAGTCAATCCACTCTGTTGTATCACTCTGCTGTAGTTCAACCACACACTGAAGTCCAAGACTAATGATGACCACACAAACAACAAAAGTCTTTCTCTTGAATTGTCCCCGGGCCTCTCACTTGTTTTCTATTTAACTACAAACTCTTGATTGAGCACAAGCTGCTGGCATATCTGCTGTTTGCTGATTGGTTTATTTCTCTGTCAATCTGTGCGTGTTAGGTCCACCCATTCAAAAAGCCCCAAGGCTGCGTGTCCAAATGAACCTCCCTGTCTGGAATGGACAGGGCTATGGCTTTACTACTAATGCCTTCATTAGGTAGCATTTATGTGACATCACAGCATTCCAAAGTCTCCATATTTGGTGGAGGGCAACTGAAAAACATTTCCTGGTAACTATAGTAACTGTCAAAAGTTTAGAACAAATTTCTGTGTAATTCCTGGGCTATTCCACATGAAAGACTGGTTGATATGCTTTGTCAGTACATATCAACTATGTTCTAATTATTTTCTCATGAAGGCGTCTAGAAGTGGTGACAATATTTCACAAACATGTGCATGATGTTGGCCAGGAGAAAGGACTTTCAGACATGAGAAAAATATGGCACTTTTATTAGATAATTATCTGGGAAAACATTTGACATGTTCTTGTTTTGGCACCTGCCTTTCTACTAAATTGTAATAATAATAATTAGATTGTGTCATGGATATAGAATCTCTGGATATAGTGTTTCCTCATTTCTTACAGATGATGTTTTTCTCATTTTCCTATCCGATTATACAACATCCTTCATTGCACATTTATCTCGCCTGACATAATATCTTTTCTAGATACAGGGCCCTTTAATGCGGTACGATTTGATATGTACAATGCTGCCTTTTTCTCCCTAATGTAACCAAAATAAAACACTATTGAAGCATTTATATTTACTTTACTAAAGATGAATTGTTATTAAGGTAAAACATTTCAAAACTAAAGATAAAAAACAGTAAATAATCAATATTGTTTTTTTTTTTAAAGCACATCCCTAAACAACAGCCATTATGAGCCCAATTCACGTTTAAAGGGTTCACGTTAAAACACAATTGCTACATCATGGACCAGAAATTATTCCTGCTTTTTCTTTCTTGTTACTTCATTAAATCGTGTCATTACTTGCCATTGTGTCTTTTTGTATACATACATTTTTAACGCCTCTATCATGTATTTATTTTTTCTCCTACGCACAGGCGAGCTGAAGGAGATCAAGCAGGACATTTCCAGTCTGCGCTATGAGCTCCTGGAAGAGAAATCCCAGGCCGCAGGAGAACTGGCTCTCCTCATTCAGCAGCTGGGTGACAAGTTTGGCAAAAACACCATGAGACATTAACAGAACTCAAGCGAAAGTGGGAGATGGGTGAGACCGGGACAAGGGTCAGTAGTAATCTCCGATGAGATAGGTGACAATTTCTTTATAGAGAAGTTGAGTCAAGGCAAAAATGATAATAATAATAATAATACAAGACTAATGTATATGCAACGAGCAATTATAATGAATAGGAAAAGTTGGCTCAAGGGCCTGGGGTCACACAAACTTATGCGAGGGAAGAATGACAGCTGAATTTAAATTAAAGCCAATATCTTCAGGGACAGATAGGGAGACAGGGGCATTCTGGGTGAAATGATACGAAGCATGAGGTGTTGTGAGCCGACCCGTATAAGAGCTCAGCCTGAAGTGGGGGGGAGGGGGTTACTTTGATGGACTGCAGTGGTAAGATTGGAGGAGAATGGGGGAATAAAGTGCCACAGTTCTTCTCTATACACTGCAAAAAATGATAAAATATGAGGTTGTAATTGCTTGAATCATGTGGTTTTCAGCACATTCTGACTGTCTTAAAACAAGATTTGCCAATGGGAGAAGCCATTTACCAGATAAATTTGCCTGTCCCATTGATTTCAAAATGTGTTCAAATTGAGATAAATGTAGTTAAAGACAGTAGCTCAGTTGGTAGAGCATTGGCCTTCAGGCCTGAAGGTTGTGGGTTCAATTCCCACCTCTACACCTTCTCCACCGACTCCCACTGATGACTGCTGTCGTTGTGTCCTTGGGCAAGACACTTAGCCCCACTTTGCCCAAAGCCCCCGCTGAAAGATCAAGGCTATGCTCACAGTCAGAGAGCAGCCGTCCTCCTGTGGACTCACCACCTGCAGAGGGTCAGTGAGGGGCTGGTGCTATGAGACTTGGGTGGCATCTCTGACTGCCACCCCCCTGACCCAGAAATGGATTAAAGGGTAGAAAATGGATGGATGGATGGTAGTTAAATTTGAGCTAAATTTTATACCTATTTTTCATCACTTTTTGCAGTGCAAGGGTAAGATATTGGAGGAGCTTCTTTAGAATGGGGAAAAAAGTGCCACAGTTCTTCTCTATACGTTGCTTTCAATGTCTTTATGTTGTCTTCTTCTCTGTCACAATATTGCACAACACTTTGTACTTTGTACCCCAGGCGATCTAATTAACCCATTCACGTTCGCTGTTCATGAGTCGTTGAGTTGTTTAAAATTGGATAAAAGGCTATCTTTCAATGCATTTCCCTTTTTCTTCAAGATGATTCAAAATATGTTGTTTGTTTTGCCATTTGCGTTGGTATGACCTTTTCAAAGGGGAAATTACCTTTACTGACATGATTATTAAAGTGCCATCCAACATATGATGTGCACTTGTGTCGCAGAGGTAAACAGAAAACACATTTTTTCAGTCGCTTTAATGACTAATGTTTTTTGCCGTTAAGCATTTGGGATTCTACAAGGATACGGTTTTCGTTTTCTTTGTATTTGCTTTGTGCCTAAGCCAAAGGCAAAAACAATCATCCAAAAGTAAAGGATTTAAAGTCTGTTTCCAGTTTCTGAATATATTTAGAAAGTAAACTAAAGGTTTTGTCTATTCCCCAACATTACTGTTTTGATTTAGCAACTTATGCAACACACATTAACGCAACACTAACGATTCATTCACCTTTAGACAACACTACAAATATACAGGGTTTTCCAGATGCAACTATTTTGATATGCCACAGTGTTGCTATTCCCTTTGGGTGTAAAATCTCACATCTCTCCATGTATTTGAATTTGAAGTTAGATAGAATGTGTGCGGTCCATGAAAACTAAGCCACTTGTATCCATGATGTGTTCACAAGACGAGGAAGTTGTTTTTGTGTGTCCTGTGTCACTAGAGCAGCTCAGGGTTTGGTTATTTTGTGCGTCGTTCCCCATCTGTCACAAAGCCAAAACTGTATTTTTAACTCACAGATTAAAGCTAAGACTTGTAAATGCATACTGTCATGTGTCTCTTCTTAAAGCAGCTAGAACTTGGTGCTTCTCATTCTTGTCATGAAAACGAAGAATTATAAGACGATTCTTGTTTCTTGTGAAAGTCCACACTTCCCTGTGATCCACCCGTGACACATTACTCAGGACATGCTGATGCGAGTTTATTGGTATAGCACAGCTCACACACAGCAATGCTTTACAAAAGAAAAATAACCTTTACAATCATACAAAACATGTCATGGTTTGGACTCAATCTATTATCACCTGGTTTTAATTTGACCTATTGTTTTTTTTTTTTTTTTAATCTATTCCTTTCCTTTTTGAGTTTGAGTTTTACTTCCTTGCCGTTCCTGTTGATCGTTTGCCCCACTTGTGTCCCCCTGTGTGTATTTAGACCCTGTGCTCTCTTGTTGTCGGTTCATTGTTGTTTTTTCCCCATGTCTTGTCCGTGGTTTTAGTTTTTACTTGTCTTGTGGTGTTCATTAAATTGCGTTATTTTGCAGTTCTGCTTTTGGGTCCTTCCTTGTTTAATATCACCATGACACGACAACATGGATTATCACAATACATTAGATACAATGTGGATATAACCTGTCAGTCGCATGCACAGCTAAACAGCTAGGGGGCGCTGTAATCCATCCTACACGGAGAAGCAGTTCATGTAACAAAGAAACTTAAAGGACTTAACAAAATAGTTAAATCACCAAAAGCACTTTAGAAAATTAAACAATTACAGTAGTCATTGATCAAATTAAAAAGATTATCCAATGTGTAAGAGAGATAATCAAACCTCTCAAAGCATTCCCTTACAGCCTCTGGAAATTATAAACTGTAGGAAAAATGTACATCTTTGGGAGAACCACAGCCTCTGTTTGTCCAGGCTGTGGATGAGTCCAGGACTGACATAGACCCTATATTAGGAGTGAACTGACCATCACCCACAGTGTTTGCCGAATGCAGCAGAAGTTGATTTGAACATAAGCTAGCTGGAGCCAATTCCCTTATATGGGCATTTGTTCTGATGGCATTGGCTTTGCTCTGTAACAGGGGAAGACGTGTTGTTTAGACAGGTGTCAAGGTAAGCTAGAGTTTCCCTCGCAAATGAAGGCATCTAATTGTTCAACCCTTGTGTGGCTCATTTCTAGATCTACAAAGACAATATCAAAACACCGGGATCATAGAGAGCACTAAAGCACAATTTTTAAAGCCAAAAATAGTGAGTGTGACACAAACGGCATCTACAAAAAGATGCTTCACAAATCTGGTTTAAAAGATGATAACACGCTTAAGTGATTAGTACACATTTTAGTGGTTTTAGGTCCACAAATAAAGCATTTTTTTCCAAAGCGAACCAGAATAATCCCTTGATAAGTTGGGATTGTGGGAGGGCGCCCAGGGAGGTAGTGTTAACTGTGTATTCTGTGTGCCCAGGTTCAGGCTCTCATCTCTGCTTCTCAGACACAGACCTACTCCTTGCCATTACAGTTGCATGAAGATGTGGTAATTGTGTGCAATGTGATCTGGCATTAGTCAGGTGTTTACTGTCGGCTGAATTCCCCTCAGCGCCTCAAGGATGAAAAATCGTTATTGTAAGAGTGGTGTAGCTGAGTCATGCACCTCCGACAGCCACACTGTTTTACATCACGCTTTAAAACCACATGTGCTCTACAGCATTTACAGAAACCTCTGCATTGTTTCAACTTGTCAAACACAAACTTCCTCTTACTGTGCTGTCAAGCATGTATTTGGGTTTATCACTAAAATTGCAATAAATGGGTTGTATGTAAGATGTACTGCATACTTCCTTTTTCTTGTACGGTATAGTGGTATCTAAATTGTGTCATATCATGCGCGGAAAGTCAAATAATATACTTTTGTATGTGAAAGCAGTGATACATATGTACAATAGATCTGGCATGCGCCTCATGTTCGGCGACCCCGCTCCCATCTCTGTGTGGAGTGAGCGACAAATGCCCAGAAAATAATAATAACAATTGTAAACTGCTTTGTGACCCTTGTCTGTGAAAGGCGGTATGTAAATAAACATTACTTACTTACTTACTTACTTACATGCAAATTACAAAACTCTGAATATTTCCAACGGCACATAAAATGTCCGCTTGGTAAATCTGGGTATAATTGCTGTCTCAATAGCTGCATTCTTGTTAAGCGCTAACTGAAAAATGGATTTAGCAGTTGGAGCACCCTCTATTAGAATTTAATGAGGAGAAACAGCAGCCATTTTAATTAACGGCCAGGAAGACTGCATGTAGCCTTATCTGATTGCACCGCGGTGTAATGTTTCAGTCATTATGATGTGTTGCACAAAACTTTATTACCAAGGGACCATCTCCACTACTTTTTCCCTCAAACTATTTGTGTTAATATAGTTGTCAGGCGTACTACTCCAGCCCCTATATCTGTCCATCTGCTTCTAACTGTTCTCACATCACTGCCAACCCCTCAGAACAGCCCACAGAGACACATATGCCAAATTACTGTCCCGGGAAAGAGGGGGTTTTTGTTACAATATAAAATATTCTTTGCAGGACATAAATAGCCGCCATGACTCTGTATCTCCATAGCAACAAGGTGGACAGAAGACTGGACCTTTCCTCCAAAAAGATCTGTTATCGGATTTCACTTAGGTGGTCGTCTTCCGTGTCGGGTTTGAGCTTTCTCTAACTGCATTGCTTAGGTCCATGCATGTGTTATCAGCTTGAATTAAAACTATGTATTAACTATTTATGTTATTATTTTATTACTTATAAGTTCAACTAAACACACAAAAATGCACATAAGACCATAAGATGCCTTAAGCTGATGTTTTGCACCAGTAAAACACTTTCTTTGCATTTCATGGTTGGTATAAACAAACATATCCAATAACATGGCCAGTAGAGGTTCAAATGGCCACTCCATGCGTAACAAAACAAATGTAATAACTGGTACATAACTAATTATAAAAAATTAACAAAATATTAACTTTTCAGGATGAGGAAAAGTCACTGACTGTTTCTTCACGCTCACACATTCTAACTGATTTCAACAACCATGAAA